GGTCATTATTGCTCTACCAAGTGCTATAAACCAAAGGTTTGTGAGATGAAGTTACGGTTCGGACTGAATCCCATTCAAGGATGTCCATCCACAAGATTTCAATATTAAACTGGAATAGAGGTAGTCGTTGTGACATGTTTGGTTCCAACAATCACGTAATTATTAACCGCAGACAAGAACTAACAACCATACTCTATGGATAATATATGCACACATATGGTGAAGCCATTGACCTGAAACCTAAAAATATCCTTAATACTGAATTACAGACAATAGAGTTCCTCTTTTGTTCAATGACGATAGTCTAAGGTAAAACAAATCATATATACTTAACCTAGTCTTTGGGATTTCTCAGTGACCTTCGAGTTACCACGGAATTAAATATACATGGTTCAATTGGCGTTATTTTTCACTGACTTTATGCTATGTGCTTGGAATCAGCAAATGTGTGCTACTGATTGCTAGCTTGTGTAAACAATGTGGATTCAATCATAGTAGTTTTTTGCTCCTCTTCTGAATAAATATTAAATTGCTTGTGTGTTATTCCAAACAGGCTTATTTTGAAGCAGAAACACAGATCAAGCTAGCGGCAGCTGGTGAAGTCTTCCAATTCGGCATTGCTTTTTGTGCTCACTGGTGATGTTATCAGCGTGTGCTCTCGTCCCGTTGGAATCATCCTAATAATATATCTCATTGTGCAGTTATCATTTTTACCCACTGCCCGAAGTTCCCAAAATACCTCAGGCATTCCGTGTTATCAGGCTATGGTAGAGTTACGGAGAAATTATCCCGACAAGAGTTTGGCAGATATAAAATACTAAAGCGGAAACAAAGTGGCATTACTGAGAAGCATCCAGCCGGCTGACAGGTAATTTTAGATCATTTAGACCACAAAATATATCAAAACCCATCACCTTCTCAATCAAAGTGCTTTCGCTGTTGGGAAAGACTACAGGCCTATTGAATTTCGCAAAACTGACCGAATTTTCTGCATTGGAAATTAAAATACTGTAAAAAACGGAGTGAACTGGATAAATATCACTTTCACCGGATTGACCGTGGTTATCAGTATCGGAATTGCGGAAGCGGCCTAGTCGCTTACATCAAAAGATCCTGCAGCAAGTCTTCAGAAAAGTTATTGTTGTATAGCACTAAACAGACTGTTTGCTTATCTATGGAATTAAAACCATGATTCCTAAGCGAATGTCGATCGATTATCACTATGAATGTCAATATTTCACAACCTTCCTCATCAAATGACATTTCTGTATTCGCCGATATACTCACATCAGAAAAGGTAGAAACCATTGAAACCTTATTCGTCATAGCCTCTGGAGATTTTGACCAACTTGAGGTTAGTTATAAAAGCTGCTTCGCTCTAGAGAATATTTTGAGCTCGTATCCTCTTGGTGAATTTTCCGTCTCATTGATTTTTACCATTGGCGTACTTATTCTTGTTCCAAGAATTTAGTCGCTGACTACTTGACATAGTTTTCCGCTCAAGAGAATTGCTTTACCGTACGCGTCGAGGCAAGACTGAGACAGAAATGTCTATTAAAGCGACCGGATAATTTTGAGAAGTGCCGACTACTGTAGTTCGTAAATCACTGCATTTCTAGCTCGTACCTTTAGTAAAATTAACTTGGAGTACAAAGAGGTAATGTTATTTCTGTCCACTTTGCGGATGTGAGGGTTATTTCATAGGTCCGATTCGAAACGTAGGCCTCGCCAATTATGACCTGATTGGTGCAAGCCTTCAACAGTCATGAGAGTGTTCTCATACGAAAACAGCCGATCTTGTGAAAAACAATGGTATAATACCAGGCAATTTGTGATTAGGTCTGTTGTGAAACGAGCTGTTAGAAAGGTGCATCAAGATTCTTAGACAGAACGGGAGCTGTGAGCGATTCCAAGATTCACCGAGGCCATTTGTCGGGGAGTTGAATAGCTTTATCACGAGTGATTTTTCATCCTCCCAATTGTCTTTACTCATATGTGAAAAGAATGGACGACATCCGGTGTTTTGATTCATAATGAAACCCCTTCCATTTTATTTTCATGGTGCCAATACAAAAATACTGCTCACAAAGAGGAGGGCAAAACTTTTGTCAAATAAGCTATGTAAACATTGGTAACGAAATTATCAAATTCAAAGCAAAATCCTGTGTCCACGTGTTCTCGTCAACGATGGTCCTGTTCCTTTTCCATGGGTCTTCAGTTTGCCATGATTCCCTATGAACACTTCATAAATTTGTGTAAGCTCGATTAAAAAGTAAAAGTACTATTGTGCCAGACTATGATTATGTGGGTGAGGGACTCGTGGATTACGAGGCCCGAATTCTTAGTTGTGGAAAGTGAAGTGCGTAAACTAGGTGTTATGTGTATTAATAACAGTCAAGTGCTAATGATTACATAAATGATTACATATAGTCTGTGGGCAGTCCAACCACAATATACGGTGCGTTCACCGGAAGTGGAACCATCTTCGGGAGAGTGGCCTTTCTGCAAATGCTACTGGAAACGATAGCAGTAGTTAGCTGACTGTTTTGTCAGTAGGTTGACTTGTTTGGTGCTTGGATGGATTGTGAGTTGCTAGTTCGCTTGATCATATCACAATCTACCGCTGACTTACCAGTAAAGTACTGTTAAGAGTAAATAGACATTGCAACACAAATAGCCCATGAAGACAGAAGAACTCCATTTAATCCGGTTCAGACAACAAAATTGGATAATATGAAAAAGAGAATGAAGACGCGACATGACGTGTTCGCGTTCCTCAAAATCTCCAACAGGAGTAAACAAGACTTGTAAGTCGCCCGAGTTTCTAATTTATTGTGAGAAATTCGCACTGGTAGACAACACCATCATCAAATTCTGTTGTACGTAGAGCTGCAAGGTCAGATACAGAGGTTTATCTGAACGTCCCTACCTCCAACCGGTTTGGATAACTGTACCAAAACCATCATCTTCCACCAGTGAACACAAAAATGAACTAACTCAGAGTGTAATCTATGGATAGATTTGTAGCTAACATTGATTGAGAACATTATAATTGACTTAAACCTCCAATTTCACGATTTTTCCCACAACAGAGAAAAATCAATTCTGATGACAACCTTTTTGTATGGTGTAAATGCACGTGCAAAAGAATTGCGAAAAAAATTTAACAGGCAGCTGAAATTCCTAGAGGGATTGGACTTCTACAGTTTCTTCTCTCTTCATGCAAATCAGAAAGCCGCGATACCGTAGGAGACAGATGAAATAAACAGGCTCGTGCTGAAGGTGCTTAACAAATTAGGAGCAAAAGCGTCGAACTGTCAGTTGACCGGACAAACATGGGCTAAGACCATGCCAAATTTCAAAGCCCCACGGTCAATATCCGTGTTTCAGAAAGTTTAATTGGACGTAGCTGTAGAAGCTCAGCATTGTGCGAACAGTGGCACTTTTGGTCACGACACAAACGAAGACCAGAAAACAACCAAATGGTAAAATGTTCATTAACATTTTTCAGTTGAAAATAATTTCCAGAAGTAAGTTATCGCAACTGCTTTAGGTGTTTAAATTTATCTCTAACTTTTTCTTAATTCCTGATATAAGTACTATCTACAAATGAATGGACCGAAGTCCCGGACACACATAATTGACTGACAGCAACAATCGCGAAAATGGTCATGTGCATACGAGAAACGTTTTCTACAGAAAGGTAGAAAGTAGCTAAACCAGAATTCTCAGGCTCGACGACAGCTTCGTCATTCTCAAGGTTAGCCTTCACTAACTGGTATAGAACCATCTTCGAATCCCCGTTATTCGTACTCAGGGGACTCTTCTAGGAGGAGCACAAATTAGATATTTATGGGTATTTATTCCCACTTGTGCTCAACTGTTCGTCTTTAGGTACGAACAACCAAGGTGATCGATTTTTATATTCGAAATCATCTGATGTGTGGATCGAGGAGCGCGTGAACCACGGATATGCAACTAATGAATGTGCACTAAGGCAAACGTGCGGCTCCTATACTCATATAGCTTATTGTCACTTACTATCATTATCCCACTTTCGAATGTATTCTGCAGTATGTGGTACATGACTGTTGATCTGTGACAGACACGCCACTGAATAGGACTAGATAGAGAGGGTAGCGATAAAAGTATAATTGCTTCCACCTTCCAGGAATTTCAAGTCTGCTGGGGTGAAAACATTATCATTGTCAGATGAGCTAGAAATGTGGAGGAATTTTGTACGTAATAGCAGTAAGTGATGGTTGAAGAGAACTCCATGGAAACCAGGATAATGACCACGATGACGATGAAGACAGTAGTGACCCGGATGATAGCGATGCTGATGATGAAGACGATAAGGAAGATTAGGAAGACGATCATCATGTTGATCATGAACATGATGATTTGGATGATGACGTCCATTAAGATGATGACGATGAGGATGAAGATGATGGCTATGACGGTGATGATAAGAAGCAGGAGGAACATGATACGGATGGTGATGACTCGGATTATCATGAGGAGGATGCGGACGAAAACGATGAGAAAAAAAAAATGACGAAGATCATGACAATAAGAAATCACATAGTGATGAAGATGAATCGAAGGGTGAGCAAGATGATGGTATTATTGATTACGACCCCGATGATGTTCAGAAAATTGATGATCGCGACGGTGATATTAAAGACGACGACTCAGGTGATGACGAATAGGATTCGAATGACTATCAAGATGACTTTGGTGCTAAAAGAGCTGACGATGATAATAATGAAGATCACCGTCATATTGACGACGGTGATTACTGTGATGACGTGCAAACGAAAGAAGCTGATCATAATGATGATGATGACGATGACTCGGGTGATGACGGAAATGATGAAGGCTCGGATGAACGAAATAAAAATGATGATGATGACACGGATGATGATCATGAAGACTTGCATGATGATGAGGAATAGGATGATGACTCGGATGAAGTGAATGATAAGGATGACGATGAA